TAGGCCTACTTCTGTCTGATATCAGTGATAATGATATCATATACAGCTACGCCGCCGCAGCAAACCTGCAGACTAAGCGAATTTCAACTTGTCTGATTAAATTTTTACTAAAATATTTCCATAATTAAGACATATTTATTCACAATTTAAATAACAATATATTTAATTAGTGCTTAGGTTTGCTGCTACGGGGAAGGTAAAAAGTGTTTTTGACCATACGTCAATTGTATAAGATGAAATGAATAAATTTGCCAAATTTTATCAACATAAAACAAACATTAAAGAAGTCAACTACAACAGTTTTAATTTTTTCATAAGAATTAAGAATACCATTGGAATTTTATAATACACTATTTTTGAATTTTCTCCATGACTGTTAGGCATACAACAGCGCTTCAGTATACTCAATTATTTATTTTTTTAAGCTCTACAAAACGGTTTAGAAAGAAATTGAAAATTTTGTTGTTTTTAGGGTCAAAAATGGGAAAATCCCATTTTTATCCCATAAAACACCCCATAAACCCCCGTTCCCAAGGTCCGATTATGCTGGTTTGCGAACTCGTTCGAATAAACATAGGTTTACGCGTTTGTACCAAATTTCATCAAAATCGGATCATTTTTGCTCGAGTTATCCCACTAACGTACACACATATATATATATACTAGCAGAGTACCCGTTCTTCGTACAGGATTGGCATATAGGCCTAAGTATAATATGCTTATTGCAGTTATACTCTAGTTTCACGTTTGCAATGGGGGAGGATAAGGCTTGAGAGAATTTGTTTCTTTTATTTACAGTAAAATATCAAACATTTACACAAGGGCCGTATGCATAAAAAGAAGTAAAACCTTTTACTTGTAAAGTTTCGAGCAAAACCTTCACAAGATATGAATAAAAACTAGAGCAAAACCTTTTACTTGGAGTAAGAAGTAAATGAACAGTGATTCAGATCATTTACTCGGAACAGTAGTAAATAAGTATGCATAAAGTCGACCTTTTACTTGTACTGGCAAGCAAATCCTTCAAATCTGATGCATCAAGTTAGTAGTTGACTCATCTCTCAAGTAAAATGTTATTTTTGTGTTTGATATGGCAAGTATGGTGAATGTTAGGGAAGTAAACGTGTATCAACCTCGTTGTAGTCCTAAGGACATTAAAAGTTTGTTTTGTTTTGAAGAAAATAACGTGCATTGGTTGACAAATAAATTTGTAGGGGTGACTGTAGAATCTCTGGGCGCGCTAACCCCAGTACATAAAATGAAAATTTGTTTTAAGATATCTGTCTGATCCCGGATTTCAAAAAGGTATTGGATTCATGCAATGTTTGGGTTTTAGTCTTCAAAGCCTGAAGCAATTTTTCTCCCATTCCAGGATTAATTTTTTTCAGTCTCTTTAGTGTCAGTTTTTATCGTTAATCGTGTTTTCATTTTGATTATTTTTTCATAATTCATTTTCCATCTAATTTCATTCCAAACATGGATGTGTACTTCAAAAAGACTTAATCAATTGATTATTCAAGTTTCTTTTTTTTTTGAATTTGGGATTTTTCCAGTATTATGGTAAACAAACATAATTCATTAGCAATAAACATTACCTCATTATTACAATCTACAGTTTGCACACCACCCGGTTCGTCATCACTTGATGAAATCATGACTTACGAAACCCAAGTTAAACTACACTTATTTAGAGAATCCCCCAGACGCTAGGTTGAACCTAGGGCCGCAAGCATAAGGAGCCGCAGAGGATAAAAACATCTTTTTAGACGAAATAATTTATTTTTTCTAAACCATTAGTTTGCCGCGATCACAGGTGACGATAATAATGTCCTCGTGACTGCGGACCTAGGAGACGTTCAAGATTTAGCCGCTGTCGCGAGTATCGATGGTGATGTCCCCGTGATTGCAGCCCACGGGAGATATTCACGATTCCACTGCGGTTGCGAGTGTCAAGGATAATGTTCCTTTTGTTGCAGCCCGCGGGGGATGTTAATGACTTGGCGCGGTCACATATACCTATGATGACATTGATTTGATTTAGGAGAGATGTCCACGATTTAATCCACGATCATGAGTGTTGATGATGATGTCCCCTTGATGCATAGCCGCAATCGCAAGGAGTTTCCACCACAGGGGGGGAGCTGCAAGTACGCTAAATCCGGCACTGTGAATAAGGCACATAATCCCTTTATTTACAGGAAAATTAGTGTATTGCTGTTGTGTGTGTTGAGAAAACAGCTGATCAGCTGTTAATATTTGATAAATCAGATGTTGCATTGTTAAATCAGTGCGCCTAGTAGTTCATTGGTGGCTGGAATTTTACCCCCTGGGCTAAGCTGACGTCACTCAGACGAAGTAACCTGAGCGCTCAAAAGTTTGTTCATGGGCGGAATTTCACCCCAGCAAAATCGGAAGTCTAATGAAAATAGACAGAGCGTGATGAATTAGATTTTCAATAAAACCCGGAATTTTACCCCCTGTCCATAGAACTAGTGTTTATGCAAATGTACGGCCCAGATTTTTCCCCTGGATTTTTACCCCCCGGAAGTTTACCCCCTGGCCATATAAAGAAATTATTAAGAATGATTAATTTTCTTCTTTCGGTTTTAATTTAATAGTAGACATTTTATTATTAAATTATTTTGATATTCGGGTTTGGGCCAACCGTTGGTTAATATGAATTTAAAATGTTTACTATTTAAACTGAAAGAAGAAAATGAATCAATCTCACTAATTTTTATATCTAGCTAGGGGGTGAAATTCCGGGGGTAAAAAACCGGGGGGGAAAATCAGGGGGGGTAAAATTCCTGGGGTAAAAATCCGAGCCGTACATTTTGAGCTGACCTCATAAAGAGGGTAAAAGTCTGGCGGTAAAATTCCAGCCCATACACTCTAGGTTTTATAATTTGATGTATTGTGATTAAATTCACAGTGAAAATATACGTTTAACTCCACCTTTAATCTATTGAACTGATGTTGTACAGCTCAAAAGTTCACGGCCGGAATTTTACCCCCTGGTTTGTGACGTCAGTTTCGCCCAGGGGGTTAAACTCCAGGGGGACAAAATTCCGCTACCCTTGTTCTTTTACTTGTGATTCGAAGGATTTACTCCCTAGTAAAAGCAAATCATTATGCATATTATGTTTCTACCTTTAACTTGAAGCATTTGCTTTTCCTTCTACCTTTTCCTTTTGAGCAAATGCTCTTTTTTATGCATACGGCCCAATAACACAAATTAATAATAAATTAAAAACATAAACATTACTGTAAACAATCCTACTTTGACAGTTCTCATTGTGTATCACAGCTTTTTTATGCTACCTACTTCAAATTAGCTGTTGTCATAATTGCAAAAAAATAAAATAGTGCTGCATTCTGTTTGTAAACTTTATAACTTTTTAATGTTATTGAATGTCATAAAAACAACTTGTTTGGTCGAATCATCTGACAAAATTATTTAATTCCTTTTAAATGTGAATACCCATAATGTTAACATGGGGAACTACAGAGCCACTGGGGCGGAGCCTGAAAGGAGTTTTGAGATAACAATATGCCTATATGTTAATCGGGAATGTGAGCTATTATCACCCCAAATTTCAGCCCAATCCGACCACTATTTTTCACGTTTACCTGTCACAAACATACATACATACATACATCCAAACTTTCTCATTTATAATATTAGTAGGATGAATTTGAACGGATGGTGTTTTTGGCCTCTAGGGACTTCAAAACAAATAATTAAATTGGTCCCGGGTCCAGGTCTTACCATGAGTACTACGGTAATAGCATATTCCCTATATGGGAAATTCGCTAAAACCTATTATATCCTGTATAGACGGGACCAGGGTCATGACGGATAAACGAATTACCGGATAAACCGATTTTTGAGATGTACACAGTTCTAAAACACCTTCAGAAAGTCTCTGCAATACCCGTAATACAGAAGCGCGTTATTGTTGCATTTCCTTTGTGAAGGTGTTCTTAGTATTTTTTTCTTTTACTGAACTGGGAACCCAAAACCGTTTTCGAGCAAGAGCCAAACTGTTAAAAAATGGAACCGACACATCACTATCAAAAACTTTACAAAATTTCTTACAAACCAACTCTCTAGTGTTATTATTACACACAGAATTTTGTTGTGGTGTCTAGGCATACATATTTGTTAAGAGGAGATGATACATTTTCAAAATTTCAATTCATACCGTCACGTTAACTAGATAGTTTTTAAGCAATTTCTGAATTTTATCTAGCAGAACTGCGAGTAAAGAACTGAAGTTATGTGAAACCGAAAAAGGGCTTTTGGGCCTTTGCTGTGCATAGTATAGGTATTGCCAATAGCCAGTCTATGCTATTCATTGTAAACCTACTTTGTGGTAAGAATTTGAATGAATTTGATTGAAGTTTCAGTGTGTACTATCGCGCATCCTCTATTTTTGACCACAGAATAACTAATTCCTTGCAATAATGTAGTTAGTAAGTATTACTGGTATTTTAGTATAAGTCACTGCGTTTCCAAGTTTTTAGATTTAAAAATCTTAAATAAAAACAATTCCTTCAAATTGTATTCTCCTCACTCTACAAATACAAAGGATTCTTTCAAAACGGTTTGCATTCATGGGGATTTGAGATCAATACTTTGCCTTCAACTACTTAATCGAGGTACAATACAACTCAATAATAAATTACAATTGAGCTTTAGTCAAAATATTAATCTTCCAAACTCTAGACAATCAGTAGCCAGAATAGTTGTTTTTCTTATTAGAGGGTTTAAAATTTTCAACATGAAACATAATGTAATGTAAATTAACTCCTACACCATAACAATGTTTTGCTGCTATCTTAAATAATTTCACCACTATTGCTGTCCGCTAAAAAAGAACTATCCATTTAATTCTGGTAAGGTACTTCATAATTAATGTTTGTCGCTAGATTTTTTTTTTTGGAGTTTACCACACTGATGGCATTTATAACTTAAGGGCTAAATAAACTTCAAGACATATTAGAAAATAAATTTACTGAGCAATGTACTGTACATGGTTGTCAAAGCTTAACAGAATTAATTAAGATCAAACTATTTGTCTTTTAAAATCTTCAATTACGATTCCAGCAACTAGTCAATCTCCAATTTTTTAAAGTCTTCCTCCACTTTAGATTTCTTCTTCTTTCCAATTCTCTTACTTTCGTCCACTTTCTGTTGGTTGTGTGCAAGCAGGGCTTCTCTCATCTCTTCTACACGTTTTGTGTTTTCGGCTGAAAGACAAATCCAAAATTGGTTAACCATATTTGCACCCACACTTACACTTAATTAGGAATATCTTGCACAACATTGTCACAACTTTGAATTGTTTCCAATACTGTACTCTTCCAATCAAACCTAAACATTTTTAAAACCAAACTTGAAAAAATTCACTGAAAACTAATGCCAAGAGATCAGTTTTTGAAGGTTTTAGAAAGTATTCATAACAAAAGTGAGACTATATTCCTGTCATTATTGCCAATCATGTTTTTTTGTATATTTTATGTGAAAAACAATTATCTGTGTGTTAATTACCCATAATATTAAATCAAACATAATTAGAGCTCACATCTATACCTAGTACCTGGGGACCGAGCCATGGCTCAGTACTAAGACTATCCACAGTACTATCCTGATAATTAGACCAATTCATAAATTGCAATTACATCCTACCCTTATCTCCATTCATACTTGGCTTAAAATACCTATGACAAATACTGTGACATTGACTAGCCATATGAGTTATTGATGTTGACATATACTGTGTCATTGCCTAGCCATATCATTTATAGACGTCGACAAACTCTGTGTCATTGCCTACCCATATAGACTAAGCTCTATTATTCTATATCTTATTACATCAATTTTAAACATTACCAATTTAATGTTAAACAGTATGATTTAAATTGGATTTCTGTAAATAATACGTTTTTTTTTAACCGTTATGACAGTACGTGTCTGGATCCGGTTCCGACATTTTCTTGGACCCGCCCATCACTAATAAAAAATTATTAAATGTCAACAACTAATGGTTTTGTATGCTATTTTAAAGTGAAATATAGATTGATTTAGTAATGCAATTAGTTTGTTGCTGCTAGGAATATTTTTAATCAAAGCAAATAGAGAACAATTTCAGTGTGAATGTTTTTTTCAAATATTGTTTGAGTTAATGTCATAGTACAGTATGCAAATGTTTTAAGAACCCTCCCACTTAGTTAATCATTCAACTACCGGTATACTACATAATTTTATCCACGTCACATACCACAATCATTGCAAACGATCTACTCAATTGTCAACTATAACTTTCCCATGTTTATTTTCAAATGCAGAACATTTTCTCCTTGATGAAATGTTTAACTAACAATAGCTTTGAAACAAATATAGTCTATCTATCATTTTATGAGGAATGATTCTAAAAAGTAATTTTCAATGACCATTTAGTTATGAAAAAGCCACACTTTTAAGTGTATGAGCTTCAGTACTGATACCAATGTATTTAAGTTTTGTTTTTTGTATGCCTAAATTAGATGTAGTTTATGTAATTTGTAATAACCTGACTAAAAATATAATATTCCTCCTTTAAAAAATTTGCCTAAAAATCACTAGGTATAATAACTTTAAAACCCCATCACTAAAGAGTTGTTTGGATTGCAGTTGAATCTTTAAATAATTTACATGATCCATGAAGTAGGTTTTATGAAAACCGCTATGTTATGATATTCCTAGTAGTCTTTGTTCATTATGTAACTAAATCACCTCCTAAAGATATTTATCCTTAGTTTCTAAAAGGCAGTCACACATCACAACCTTTATGACACACAACATTTACTTTTACACTAATCAAAGACTCATATGACTCAAAAGCCAAAAAAATATAACTATGATTCTTAATTCCACTTTGGTAAGCAATCTTATCAGCCAAATTACCTGTAAGTACATCCAAGCTGGGTGCAGTTCCACCGTAATCACTTGGAGTCTGATCCTTAGGAAGGGATTTGAAGAAGGCATCAGAAGAGGTGTGGAAATGTAGCTGAAATTGTAAATAACTTTCATAAATTAAATCTTTAAATTTTTTGTTATACAAAATTATAAGTTAAATATAAGCTTTGACTCTTGTTTAGCTCCATATTGAATAAGGAAACTTCATTTAAAATTGATTCAATAGGCATATAACAGGTCTAAGCCAGTTCCAGGCTTCTCAGCAATAATATTATTAAATTTCTTTCTTAAAAAAGTACAATAGTGTACATACAATATTTTTTCTTGTTCGTATGTTTTTATATTCTAAGCCTTAATATACAGTACTTCCCAATTATAAATAACTTTCAAATCTCTAAACTAAGGCAGCATCCCTTTAACTCCTATACTAAATACATTTAATCAAAAAGTGTTGAAAACCAAAATTTAATTTACCATCAGTTTTAATTATTGATAAATTATTTTTATCCAGCTAAATTCAGTTTATTTTATAAAGTGATACATTTGAATTATCTTAGATCTTCACCAGAAGGTACTTTCACTTTGCTTGTCAACAATTACCAAGATAAACATAAGCCTATTTGTCATATTTTGTGAAGATGATAAATGCAGAGATTATCAATTAGCTGTAGAAAAACAAAACAAATCAAATAATGTCTGTGCTAATCTTGTTATCTACATTAAGTTACCTTTCACTAATGTAATGCTTTTGCTAATGTTCAAAAAATACAATTAGTACCTCAGAATATTCCAAATTCACAAGGTAACAAAAACAAAAAGATTTTCAGTTATTTTATCTGTTATTGTAATCTTGGGATAGTTTGATAGTTATTCATTTTAAAAATATAAATATAATTAGTATTTACCATTTTCATGATGTGCTTGTTCATGAATGGTTTCACTAGTGATATGAGTTTCTTTACAACTGAACTTGAATTGATGAAGTGGATCTCCACCACCCTAATGGCCGATGCTTTCTGAAATGTAGATTTACAAAAGAATAATCATTACAGTATAAAATATATAAAGTAGAACACATTTTTTTATCTGCATATGAACACAGTATCGTAATGTTTTCTAGGAATGCTAAGCAAATTAGCATAACTCCTTGTGGAAAACCTAATGAAGAATTCAGTTAACAAAGGTAGACCATAAGTCATGTTCTAAACCTTGAATGGAATTACATTATTACAAAACCTGTTGTCTGACAAAGAGGAAAATATTTCCTGCCATCCTCACATTGCCTGTTAGCCTATTGCAAATTTCATTAAGTTTAATAAATTATTAAAAGATGTAAGAAATTGTATTTATAAACTGTAATGTTTTTTAACAAGATTTACGGGGGCAATAGTTTTATGAGTCTCCCAAAGTGCTGCAATCTTATCTCTGGAGCTAAGTATTCACTTTGATTAACAATGTTATCTAAGTTTACTGAGATCCCGTTATGCTATTGAAATTTATATATATCAGTCTTTTTTACTCTTTAATCCTTTTTTACATTTAAAAAACCTGCATTATTCCTTTAAAATTTCACACAACATAATTAGAATTTATTCAAACCATTTTTAAATAAAATAGTTCGACAACTTCTTTAAACCTTGTCTTGGGCCTGTGTGTGAAACATATAGGGGCAAGCCGGGACAGTACAAGCATGAACAAGATATATTTGTGATGTCATTGGAACATGAACACACAACATTGCTGCTACTGATTTGTAGTATGTCTCAATATTGACTGAGTCACTGACCACTACTCAAGTGATTTTTTTTAGATGCTTAACACAAAATTTTGGAGGTTATAAAATAGAGATAATACTACTGATTGATTCTTACCTGTCCGAAGTCGAGGTAATGCCTAACTGCAGACAGAGGGTTTCTCATTACGTGTGACATTGTGTAGCTGTCTGCATCGTAGATGATCTTGTACTCTGATTGTTGGCCTTCACTTAGCAGCTGGGCAGTCACTGACATGAGCAGCCACTTGACACTGAGGTTGAAACTGTAGAGGTCTAGCGAGGGGTCTCTTAGCCTCAGCAGGATCATCTGACATGACTCTGGTGACTGCTTTGGCAGAAACGCAGCATACCTAGTACATCAGACAACATATCAGCCTCCTGACACTGAGGTTGAAACTGTAGAGGGTCTAGTGAGGGGTCTCTTAGCCTCAGCAGGATCATCTGACATGACTCTGGTGACTGTTTTGGCAGAAACGCAGCATACCTAGTACATCAGACAACATATCAGCCTCCTGACACTGAGGTTGAAACTGTAGAGGGTCTAGCGAGGGGTCTCTTAGCCTCAGCAGGATCATCTGACATGTTTTGGCAGAAACGCAGCATACCTAGTACATCAGACAACATATCAGCCTCTTGACACTGAGGTTGAAACTGTAGAGGTCTAGCAAGGGGTCTCTTAGCCTCAGCAGGATCATCTGACATGACTCTGGTGACTGCTTTGGCAGAAATGCAGCATACCTATTACATCAGACAACATATCAGCCTCTTGACACTGAGGTTGAAACTGTAGAGGTCTAGCAAGGGGTCTCTTAGCCTCAGCAGGATCATCTGACATGACTCTGGTGACTGTTTTGGCAGAAATGCAGCATACCTAGTACATCAGACAACATATCAGCCACTTGACACTGAGGTTGAAACTGTAGAGGTCTAGCGAGGGGTCTCTTAGCCTCAGCAGGATCATCTGACATGACTCTGGTGACTGTTTTGGCAGAAATGCAGCGTACCTAGTACATCAGACAACATATCAGCCACTTGACACTGAGGTTGAAACTGTAGAGGTCTAGCAGCGTACCTAGTACAACTACATAAACTGTGAAGAATAAATTGTTGGACAGCTACAAATTTCTTGCAGGTAACTGGCCACTTTTGAGAAAATATATATCAGGATGAAACGCCTTAAGAATGAAACGATGGTTCGAATCCAAGCAAGATTGTTTCGAGGCCGAGATGCCATTTGTCATTGGGTGATGAATTAATGATGCTATCTAACAAAAAGGATTACGTTAGATAGTAACAAAACCAGGATTTGGACCGTTCCCTTTCAAAACGTAAAAATACCACTGACTTAAAAACACACACAAAATATTTAAAAAATGTGTTTTTATGAATATAATTTATAAATAATCCTGCTTTTTTGAAACTAATTAGTATAGCAAATAAGTTGGAGCCAAGAAAAAGATGATTTTATAAGAAGATTGTTGCCGCACGGAATGCTTGACTTAAGAGGGGGAATTTCATGTAGCAAAGTATGTGTCTATGTTCTGATTGTTTCAATAGACTTCGTTGTTTTTCAGCAAACCAGTTTTGTTTGGAATTGATTTTCAGACTTGAAAAATCTTTGTGGTTTATAAGGATTTAAAAAATAAAATTGTCCTGATCTGGATTCATTTTTAAAATGAGTAATCCTAGAGTCCTCCGGGCAAAAGACTAACCAAGAAGAGATCTAACCTCCGACTCCAACAGCAGATTATGCTCGAGGACCAAGATGGACATGTCTGTGTCTTGGAATAGAAGAAACCTCCTAACAGAATTTACTAACACCTTCTTCGTTCTCATTATTACTGACTCTATCAACTCTAGATTTCTGTTTTATTAATTTTTTCAGTAATATATCTTCCTCTATGCATATACCTTCCAATTTATCTCCGAATGACTCTTAACTGACTAATAAATCAAACTTCCCCTTACTACCAAAGTTGACATTTTTGCTAAAATCCATTACTTTTCCTTGCCTGTTATTGGTTGATTACATAGGCCTAACAATTTGATAAAACATATATTACTCACAATACTTTGCTGACGTAACCAGCAAGGCGAGTTGAAAGAGGGTCCCAGTCTGTGAAGAACTCGGTCATAGATGCTTTGTATGTGTAGTAGTGTTCTATAGCATTCTTGGCAATTTCCACATCATAATAGCTGGCATGTAGGAAATGGGCGATCTGAACATCTAGGAAACCGTACAGAATTTATTAAAATGAGTGATGTTGTAGAATTGTTAAAGCACTACAGTTGTAACATTTTTGTGGTTGTTGATATAAAGAATATCCAACATTTTCAAGTAGCTGATTGGTTGAGTGCTCATCTTTAAATCTAAAAGTCAATGATTCGCTTGCAATTAAGATCGATTCTGGACCCATACGCTATTTGTTGTTAATAAAGGTCGCTGTTAGATGGTAAAAAGCCTACTGTTTGGATCTTCCTTTTAAAAACATGTGGGAAATACAAAGATGTAAATAAACACAAATAAAAATTTCAAAAATTGTAAATTAGAATTGGTGCATTTGTACATTTTTAAAATTAAATATCTACTATAAAAAATACCTATCTTAAGATTGACCTTTTTGCTTTCTAGTAATGACATTGTTGTAAGCATAAGATGATCGCACATGTTCTAGCAAATTTGGTTCTTGATGCACACTACCCTGAATCTAATAAACTACTTATTATTCATTAATGACTTCAATTTGGCTAGCCATTAATGCCGATGATAAAATTAAAATAATTGATTATCAAAACATTATCGATGCACAACTGTACCAAGACACAACCTTAGGGTTATAGAGAGAGAGAAGTTTCATTGATTAAGCTTGCTTAAAATAAAATTCTAGTTGTTGTGGCTTGCCAGAATGTGTTTACATAATAATACTGGTATAGTATAGTGAATTGTGAACTTATCTTGAGCTGTTTGGAAAAAATACATCTCATTAGGAAAAAACTGTCAATATATATTTACTGCCACTAAATATTGAACGTTAGTCACCTACCATATATCTGAGGCAAGTGGGGCTGAGTCGCTATCCACTCCTGCACTGCCGCTATGTCCTCCACACATATGTTGGGATACCTCTTGAGCTCTGACTGTAGACTGGTCCTGTACTGAGCCTCTAAACCTACCATTGTGACTGCCTGCAAATCATAACTAACTTAGTCAAACATAAATACAGGTGGGGCAAAAACACGATCTATTTTCTGCAACACACTGTTCAGCTACAGGTCGTCTGAGGGTGGTGGGGGTGGACTCGTTGGAAAGCCTACACAATGCCATTATATGCAGTCATAGAGCAGTAGTCTCCTGAGCTATGTGCGGTTGTTTGTGAGTCGTATTTAATAAGTAGTGAATTCATTCAATGCAACTCAGCAGCAACCCCGTGTATTCTTTCAATTAAGGCGACATTGAGAAGTTCCGTTGCGTAGCACAATCATGCGGTGGGTTACTAACTTTAGAACAACGGCTTCTGCGTTCAAAAGGAAGCTGACAGGCCGTCTGAAGTCAGAACGGACGCCAGACAACTAACATTCGATAGAGTTCATGCTCCTGTGGTAAACAGTTTTCGTAGGCCTGCCCAAAAACAAGCGGCTGCCTTGAACATTTCTGACCGCTCAGTTACACAAATTTGAGTTTAAATTCTATCCCTACAGATTCATTAGAATAATAATCTGTTTAGTTTTGTTTATTATCCATACAGATAATCACAACGGAACCTCTCCATGTCAACATGGAGATCGACCTAATTAAATTATTGCACGGAACTGCCACTGAGTTTTAATGACTGAATCATTATTTTCGGTACTTAAGTATTATACGGAGGCCACCCTTATACAGCGCACTGCGGTGGTTATGTTAGGCTGGGTTATCTTAAATATAAAGCATGACTCATCTGGTTTAGTTCGATTCATAACGAAACGAGGAAAGTCCTACAAACATATATAAGATAACCCAACCTAACATAACCACTACAGCGTGATGTATAAGGGTGGCCTCCGTATAATACTTAAGTACCTTATTTTCTTTAAACGACTCGATAACAACCGCACGTAGCTCAGGGGACCACTGCTCTAAAAAAAAATTGTATTGCTTATTGCTTGTGGGAGTAGGCTTTCCAACGAGCCTACTTCCACCACCCTCAGATGACCTGACGCTGAACAGTTTTTTTGCCGCACCCTTGTGCATTGTGTGCAGCATGAGGTGTTTTGAGAGTGAATGTCATGTTTGAACACAAATGTGTTTAGAGTTATGCATCAAGATAGGTCTAAGGAGGAGGGGTTTCAAATTTGAACACCGATAATCAGGTCTTGCCTGGTAATTAGGTCAGTCCGGAGCGGCCATTGGTTTTCCAGAAACTGGGCTCGCTGCCCTCGATCATTGGGTTTTTAATTTGTAGTCCAGTCCCGGCTAAGAAATAGATCAATAGATGGTCTCAGTAACAAAACGAAACTAGGCATCTTACTCTCATTCTATACCGGTACTCATTCTTCAATTAAATTGGGTTGAAATATACACCCAGTAGCTTTCCCATCTCAATTGGTATTATTGTACTTATAAAGGTTTTAGTTACCTGATGTCTTGTGATAAGGGGCTTGTATTATATTAACTACAGATGTTAGGGGCTGTCATAGAGCACACCTTTAGGATCAAATGTCAAACCAGACATTAGTTGGGCTCAAGATGCAGCGCGGGTGGAACGTAAGTCGCGTCTGGTCGACCAGTTTTTTTTATGTCTAGTCTCGTGAGTGTTTTTTTTGTTTTAAGTATTTAATGTTTTATTTCAATCTCCTGAAGAACTCCAACACGAGCGATCATTAGCAACATAACCAAACCTAAAGATGTGTTCCATTTTTAACAGCACAAAAGAACTGTAGTTTCCAATAGTAGTTCACATTTATACTACAAAGTGATCATTTTGACAGATAACAGGTAACTTAAAACCAATAACTCATACGACCCAGAGGCCATCAATCATGAAATTGGTAGTATTGTAATATTAAAATAAAAGACGAATGATTTGTTATGCATAATCAAATATGTATACAGTGGTTTGTTAAAAAAGGTCAAGATGGGGGATTTCAAATATCAAGCCAAATATGTAACTTATAAAGTGATCGGTGTGATGGGTCAAATGAATAGTCATTTAGCCTAATCAGTCTTTAAACAATACAGTATTGACACTGTCATCATTATTGTAAAAAGATGTAAGCTATAAAAGATGTAACGTAAATATCACAGGATAGTTATGTTTAAATTATACTATTCCTAAATCAGAGTATAATTTTCATTCACAGATAACATAACCATTAAGTATCAGTCACTTTTAGAGAGAGAAACATGACTCAGTGTATCTTAATCCATATTTTGAAACAGTGTGAGTCTGTGATTGATGATATGACTTATTGTAGCTTTGTTACTAATACAAGCTATTTTGAGCAATTTTACCTTTGTTGGAATTTTGTAATTAAAGTGCCTGTGTTTATTTGTGTGTTCTCAGTTTGTATATCGAGAATCTGAATTAGATACAGTTTTATTTTATTTTATTTATTTTTTTGTTTTAGTTAAGGGTAATAGTTAATAAAATTGCCTTTTGATGAGATAGTTGAATCATCATATCTCTCTCCTCTAAAAACCCAAGTCACAATCAATTTGTACCACTTCTTAACATAGTACCAACAAAATTACCCCCTTAGAGAAACCTCATTTGTCAGCCTTCGAATATGACTCACACCTCGTCATTGTAAGGAATGCTATTTATAAAACGTCAAACGTTAGCAACAAAGGGTTGACAACAATGTTTAATGATCAGCTGACGCATTGTTGCGGACATAACCTACATTACTGTACTCACCTCGCCCCCTCGCCACAGTGTTGAGTGTGCCGCAGCGCTGGTCGACGTTGTGCGCAGGCTTCACAGCAATCACGTGACTGACCTTGATAACTGGTCGATATGACGTCACCTCGCCGCGCCATGGTGCACACATACACACACACACACAGAGACAATCACAGATTCACACCAGGATGCAAGAGATTCTGTTTATTGTTTATCTCAATTCGTGAATGTGTCAGTAATTTTCCTCTGATGTAGATAAGTTTGTGACGTTTTTATCTGTGTTATCTATCTCCCTCCCTTCAACACGAAGGAAGAAATCGAATGATGTAGCTTACAAATTGTCTCTTGTACAATATAAAATAATAGTCGGTAGTTTTAAATTGTAACAAAATAAAAATAAAATATGAGAGGAGCTCGCTCTCTTCGCCAAAAACTCGTCTTCGTCTAGCACTGGCCGGTAGGGCGCACATGAAAAGAGCCCAAAAACTCAGGCAGACACTTGAAAAGCGCCCGGACCTCCAAGGTCCCAACCAGGGCGGTGCGAAAAGAGCCCGGTCTCTTTGTAGAACTTTCACAATGGGTCTTCAAACGATAAAGAACCAATAACACAGTTGTATTACATGAAATTATTTACAATATTAAAAGATACACTGTTAAAAGATACATTAATAAAATATATATTATTCAAAGATATTTACATTACTAAAAGATATAGTCTGTTAACCTAACCTAACCAAACCAACCTAACCTAACCTAACCTAACCTAACCTAACCCAACCAAACACAACACTATTTACTAAAACATTTATAGTCAGCTTCCTCCTCCTCAGGTACCTGTGGAGACCCGGGCTCTTTCCATGCTAAAGATTAGTGAACCTTTTGAGACCCGGGCTCTTTCCATGCTAAAGATTAGTGAACCTTTTTGGGGATTAAAATTTCGGGCTCTTTGCATGTGCTCCGGGCCGGTAACTCCGAAAAAAAATGGTGGTGCCAATATATCCTCCCCCCCCCCCCAAAAAAAAAAAAAAACAAAAAAACTGGTCGGTATTCCACAGACAAGAGAATAATAACTACTGAACTTATTCCCTTATCTGTTGTTATTCATTCGGTGCTGCGTCACAACTGAACGAACTACGAACGTTCGCAAACCAATACATTGCTCTAAACTTAACATTTTATAGCAGCTTAATTTACAACAGCTCCAGATACAGCATTATAACGTTATACTGGTTGTATCGTTACAACGTTCCGTTACGTCAGACATGTTGATGTTCTAAAGACTGCACAGAGCTTCGTGGATAGTTAAATACCAACTGCTTGTGAGGCAACGGTACAACGACCCGCTGTATGCGGTTTTATGTTGCGTGCGATGGAAACTGTGAGGTCAGAGTCTTAAAATAATTTGATTAACTCGTGTGGTTTAAATGTAAACCATTGTGAATATTCCATTTGGAAAAAGTACAAAATAATAATTTTACACTATACACTGTGACGTTATTGAACCAAAGTGAAGGAGAATGTCCTTACGATGAACGTAAAGTGCACCTACTTTGTGCAGTTTTGCATTATCGGAGTTCCTGACGACGAAGTTCTTTACCACTCCACTCCCCTCGTACCAAAATATAATCTCGACATTCTCTTTTTTATTTGAATGTTCGCGTAATTACGTTATTACGTTATACTAAGGAATAGCTTATTATTAATAGTGATATTTTATTTTAAGTTCTATGGACAATTTACTCGTATACCGACGTGTGCGAATGAACACGAATGAATGTGATTTTCACATATAAATGTTTGAATGGCTATACCACGCACCATGTATTTTCGTTGATTACGCCGTTAAAGGCGTAAATTAAATTGTTTCTGTACTCCGGTCGAAATGGAGCAACCTGGAACACCGCCGAGGTCGGGCCTTTTACGAGAATGTAAAATTTAGTGTTTGAATCTGAAATTTTGAGTTTTGGTATACATTTATAGACCCAAGGTGTACCACTCCGGTTGCTGAGTTTTTTGAGGATCACTATTACCGGATCAACCAGTCTATATTACTTTTGCAAGTTCGCCAACGGGTCATCTTTCGAAGACCAAGATCGACATTCTACTTTGACCGTGAAGTTACCAAATTGCATACATAGTGTATGTAATTTGATGACGCCACAGTAAAGAGCCTAGAGACCTCGGGTTTTATTTGCACTCGTGTCTCTTGTGATTATGATGGAAGGTCATTGTGACACTGTGGTCGGGTTTAGGCTTTAGGTGTATGTTTTGCCTGCAAAGACTCTGGAAGTTAGACAGGTCAACAAACGAGTTTGCGGACCAAACTTGACGTCCTTCACTTCGCATTTCCGCATATACTCGGCTCCTTTGACTTTGAATTGGGATTTGTAAACATTTATAATTTTAAAGGGAATCTTTTTAAATGGAGTTTTAAAGAGAGATATCTAGGGTTGGTCCTTGTTTGGAGTAAATGTATTTTAATACTGTAACTACGATCACTGATATAACATGTCAGTATTGTAGGCTGGAGCCTTTTTTGGAATTATTGTTTTTTAGTTAACTCCTATTGGGTTCGGGTATTTATGACAGCGCAATACCAGGTAAACAGACAGTGTGACAGGTCAATTCTATGTCCCACTCACTATTCTATGGCTAATCTCCTCTATGATACATTAATTCAAAATTTAGAGTGACCCGTTTCGTTCAAATTCTATAAGCAATCAGAAATAACCTCTTGACTCTGGTAGTTGGAGGCCCATTGTTATACTTCGTCAAGTTATTTACTGTGGTATGTTTTCGTCAAAATTGGTACTTTAAACATATCTAAAGCAGTAGTTTCATTAGTAAGACCTTTGGCTGTTGACTTCAGTATACAAAGTGAATGGTATGACACAAATGTTAACTGGCATGAGACGCAGTTCGTTACGTACTTTCAATGTTTTAATCTGAATTATTTGGTACTGTGATGGAAAACCATATTCATAACCAAAGTGGGCGTATCGGCAATATTACTTACTCTCGGGAAAAATATATTTTCTTACAGTAACTCTGGTTGTCGTAGCCTACTACTTATTATCTTGCCATTCAATTTGGTTTTAAAATTTCAACACGGTTGGGTTATTTTCTGACAATTCTATTACCGTGAAATGTGTACTGCGTGCTAAGCTTAACTTAGATACAATACATTTGACTTTTTGAGTCTTATTCAATTTTGTGTTAATCTAATTGTGAATAAAAGACAACTACGTGAAAACTATTCTTTTATTTAACACTGACACAACATTCACTTTGTCGGTCCCTCATTATAGGCCTATGTCCAATTCCTCAAAAAGCTGTAATTTGCTGGATGATAACTTATTTCATACCCTTTGAAATCTGTCGTAGAATCAGTGGAAACTTTGCACATCACACGATGCATTTGGTTTTTACAGCGTACATATATGGTTAAATATTATACTTAGTGTATTTATTAGTTTTCCCGCCGACTACTGTAACACTGTTGGTTTTGTAGCTGTGTGTGCAACAACATTATCATTTAAATGCCCGCATGTAGATTGTACCTCACTGGTTTGTCGTATCGATCGGTTTAATTACCTACACAAGGCCAACATCTTCGGGTTCCCGTCTACTACAAGTGCTCAAGTAGAAGTAGCACTTGTTGTTATTACTCTGTGGAACTTTCTATGATAGCGAGGCGCGACTCATATCATAACTTGAAGACTTCCGGTGTAGCAACCGTTGTAACTTCCGGTTACGCCGAGTTGATGAACTCATGTAACGTGGGTGGTAATATTTTGGTAATGTTTCTCGGAGAAACAATCAAGATTGGGGTTCCTTTAATTTCTTATTACGGCATGTGTGAATCAACGATCACGGTGATCGTTGGTGTCAGTACATCGGCTAGCAGCATCTGTCTTATTTATTGTCACCAATTGATTATTTTGTAAAGGGACTGTATTCGATTAATCTTGTACTGAGATTCTGTGACAGTCTACATGTTTAACTTGACAACTAATTGGTATAAAAACATATTTTTCCATGCCTAAATCTATACTGTGTTATGTATTCGTGTTATGAAGTTTAAATTATAGGCTATTCCACTTTACAATGTAGAATTTTACTTTAAAAATGAATTGCCGAGCAAAATATTTGCTATACCTATGTCAACGGGTGTTTCAACTAATTATCCCTTAAAAAAATATAATTTTGTCATAATTGATAACTCATCATTCTTAGTGAAAAATTGAGAATTTCGCTTTGTGCATAGACCTAATAAAAACTGAACAAAAATACAAAATGTAGAAATTGGTTAAAACAAATATCAATTGTAATAAAGCACTGTTAAACTATAGGCTTCAATATAAATGTAAAACATTGTAGTTAAATTAAATCCAAAAGAAAAATAATATTATTTTTCAAACGTTGTTATTTTACCCAAAGAAAATCTCAGCCTCTCTAGGTAGGACTTGCAATCCTTCCATTTTATAAAAAATAAAATACACAATTAAGTGGCACAGTCCAGGATTAATCAGTACAAATACTTCGGAGGAGACGCTAGAAAATCCCAACTATTAATCTTTTATCCACAGTATTATCTTTCACTTTAATCTTATGCGTATTTGCTTTGCGAGAACATTGGTGATGGCAATCCAAACATTGTAAATAAAAGGATTAACTTTTGTTGTTATCGTAGAGCGAATAAGTGAAGGGGTCTGAACGGCAATGCAAATATGTTTTGCATTTAATTAAACTAGCTAAAAATAGAGAAAATAAATTATCTAGTATGATACTACTGAAACAAATAAATGAATGTTAACATCTTGAGATGAAATTGTAAGTCAATAACTTGAAAATATCGAGAGCTTTCAAAGGCTCTCACTCTACTTAAAGTGTTCCGTACGTTTTTCGTCAGTCGCCTATTTTTTTAAATGCCTCACTATAAAATATTTGTAAAATAAACCCTATCAATCTACATAAGTTGACAATTAATTGAATGCTATGTTCAGACGGCAAACCCCGTGATCCGCTCAACCACAGACAGTTGTAAACATCGACTCGTAAAAAGGT